AAACCTTAGAACTCATATTTCAAGATAAATGGTGGCATTTACGTTGTAGGTGGGCCAGGTGGGCCATGAGCTCGTCCATCCATATGAGGAATAAAAGATAAATAAATAAAATTATGTGTTGTTTATGGTTTTTTTTTCACCCTAAAGTCGCGCACTCACCGTCTGATTTCAATACAGTCTCAAAACGTGTTCTTATCCTGAATGACTAAAAATTCAATAAAATACTGCACACGGGCGGGTCGGGTTCCTGACACAAAAGTCGCCAAGGGTTGAAGTGTGAATTCTTCGTCCTACCCCTAAAGATTAAGGAAGTACCCATTCGTTCAATCCAAGTCATTTTATACAATATAAATATAATTTATACAATATAAATCATATTTTATAGTCGTCGTGGCCTAACGGATAAGACGTCCGATGCATTCGTGTTGAGCGATGCGCCGGTGTTCGAATCTCAGGCGGGTACCAATTTTTCTAATGAAATACGTACTCAACAAATGTTCACGATTGACTTCCACGGTGAAGGAATAACATCGTCTAATAAAAATGAAACCCGCAAAATTATAATTTGCGTAATTACTGGTGGTAGGACCTCTTGTGAGTCCGCGCGGGTGGGTACCACTACCCTGCCTATTTCTGCCGTGAAGCAGCAATGCGTTTCGGTTTGAAGGGTTGGGCAGCCGTTGTAACTATACTTGAGACCTTAGAACTTATATCTCAAGGTGGGTGGCGCATTTACGTCGTAAATGTCTATGGGCTCCAGTAACCACTTAACACCAGGTGGGCTGTGAGCTCGTCCACTCATCTAGACATAAAAAAAAATACAAGAATTTCTTGATGGTACTCCACTCATTTGTACATTCGGATTACATTCACCCTACCGACACCACGTTCTTCAAAAACGCTTGCTCATACAACACGTGCTTCCAAAGTTTAAATGGATACCTAGTCCACTAGACCCAAGTTGTGACAGCTGTGACTCACGGGCATGACACATACTTAGCTGAAAATTTGTACGCTAGATATGAAGTCGTGTTATTGTAGACAAACTATTCGTGTCTAAACGACGTAACAATAACATATTCCTAAACGAAAACTCAAATAGCCGAAAAATAATACTCACATACATTTGCATACATATATGTATTTATTTTAACAATTTGACAGGTTTTGGATAGTTTTCAAATGAAAACGTATTTTACTCAAGAATTGGTAGACCTTTTAGACTATAGAAAGAGCTGATACTTTCCATTTTATTGAGAGGGACTCGATTGATAAAGTAAAGAGCACTGCAAGTTCTAAATAAAATACTCAACATATTAATTATTGTAAACGTGAGCTAATTAGCAACCGAACTGCAGGCGCGCCCCCTCAGTCCGCACCCCGACCTGCGCCAGCGGATCGGACGGTAGCGCCCGTGCTGCAGACGAAACTACAACTATTGTTTGGCATTCGCTTCGCACTGTACGCTAAAGATGCCCTCCTGGACAACTTATTAGCAAAGTGTAACACCGAGTGGGTTATTGCCTTGAAGATCCATCTAGTCGCAATCACGCGTAAAAAGGTGTTGACTAACGAAAAATGTCGATTGAACCCAAGTTATGGAGATTTTATCCCACTCAACACCGGGCGACCCGGAGAGATAAGAGAGAGAATAATGCTTGACCTTTTATGTGTTTTAAAAATATATTATGAGGGACATGTAATAACTACGACACACTGCAACTCTAGTGATTAATTTCTCTAGTGGATGTTGAACCCTGCGATCCCTTACGGGATTACGCGTTTACGCGACTGGCGGTTATTGTTTTATTGTTTGCTCGCGGCTCACCTGTTGCCAAGTGGCTACCGAAACCCATAGACATCAACAACGTAAATGCCGGCACCTAACTTGAGACAGCTCTAAGTCTCAGTTTTATAATACACCAATTGTTTCACCCTTCAAACCGAAATGCATTACTGTGTCGCGGCAGTAATAGGTGGGGGTAGCTAGCCATGCGGACTCATAAGACTCCTTACCACCGGGAATTACGCAAATTAAAGTTTTTGAGGGTTTGATTTTTTATTAAACAATGCTATTCCCTTTGTATACCTTCACCCTGGAAGTAATTCATGAACACGTGGAAGTACGTATTCCATTATTGCAATATGCAGCTGCCTGCGGAGTCGCATCGCTCGATACGCGCGCGCCGGCCTCCCCGGCCTCCCCGGGCACCCCGGGCTCCTCGTACTACCCCGTACTTTCTTTAATACTTTATGGTTAAAGAGGAGCAGCGCTTTTTGCTCTCTGTTTGTTACATTAAAATTTATCTAATAGTGTTATTTCGTATAACTATAAAATATTTAGTTTGCATGTGTCTATACTCGTAAATAAATATGTGAACGTAAATGCTGTAAATGCTGAAACATAACGTTCTGTAGAGCCGAGCCCGCTAACTGGTCCCATATTGCAGGCGAGCAGGTGCGCATCATGAGCTACAACAAGAGCGGCGAGTGGTGCGAAGCCCACACGCTGACTGGGGCCGTGGGCTGGGTGCCCAGCAACTACGTCACTCCAGTCAACAGTCTCGAGAAGCATTCATGGTACCATGGGCCGATTTCCCGCAACGCGGCGGAGTACCTCCTCTCGTCTGGGATCAATGGCAGCTTCCTGGTACGCAACCCACACATTGTGTCATCTCTCTGCGCGTAGACATGACCGCCATCTACCCCGAGACAATATGCTGTAATCCTTATACTGACACGCACAACTCCTTCGTGCCGTGCGAGCTCACAATACACCCTTCTACCAATACTAAAGCTACATATTATATAAACTTTGCTAGTTTCATATTTACACAATGTTTTTCGGCCGTGAACATTTTGTGAGTGCGTGTCACATTACAAAGCTACTGCTGCTGCCCGCGAGGCTTAAACAACCAGGTGGGTACCACCGCCCTGTCTTTTTCTGCCGTGAAGCAGTAATGCGCTTCGGTTTGTAGGGTGAGCACCCGTTGTACTGTAAAAACTGAGACCTTACAACTCAAATGGCTGGTGGCATTTACGTTGTTGGTGTCTACGGGCTCCGGTATTCAGTAAACATCAAATGGACCGTGTGCTCGACCATCCAACGAGGCAATAATGATATGTGGTCAGTCTTATTGTCTACTACGAATCATATTACAGTATTATACTCTTACCTTATGTCAAACACAAATCAAGAGTCTGCACAAGAATAGTTTGTACCTACTCTATAGAATACTTCCGAAACTATTTACTTGGGAACTTTCTTTTTTGTGTGGTGTAAAACAATGGTTTAATGGAACACTCTCTGTAGTTTTGACATGATATACTCTTTGTGGGACACCCATCTGATATAGTATAGTACATACACATGTATATTTAAGTATATAATTATAATTTATAGTAAGTATATATATTCTATAAGAAGTTATACACTATGCGCTACTGTATACTCATATGTAAAGTAATAAAATAGTATTTAACGCGAGGAGAGCCGCTCCACGTCTGGTCCGACATCACCCACAGAGTGACGTCGCGAAGGATCGCCGACTGCCGCAGCCGCCGAGTCCGACCTCGGAGACGATGTATACTAAACCGGAGGTCGGGCTGTTTGTAGGTCCGCGAATCGGAATCGAGTCCTGGGCAACGCAGCATATCCCTCCGCTACGAAGGGAGAGTTTACCACTACCGCATCAACGAAGACGCCGATGGGAAGGTAGGGCCCTATCACTAACGGAGGCTGGCAGTGCGGTAGCAGCCTAGCACAACACCACTCTATCTCTTCCTGTGGATATCCTAAAACTGACTTAAGGACTTCGCCGGAGGATGGGCAGAAGCTTTATACAATATTAGCATACGTCGATCGACAATCGTGATCCACGGGTGGCTCCTACCGTTCTGCCTGTTTCTGCCGCGAAACAATGAGACTTCAGCTCGTGTTGCAAGGTGGCGGTGGAACTCACGCGCTGATGTATGTGGCCTCGTGTGACTCATTGAGAACTTGTTGCTATGCATGAGCCACAATTCAATTAATGATTACAATAAATTTTCAGACGACATATTAAGAAGAGAATGTGATTTGACACGCGTTCTTTGTATATCTTTTGCAGGTTTATGTGACCTCCGAGTCGAAGTTCGGAACGTTAGCGGAGCTGGTCCACCATCACTCGGTGGCGGGGGACGGTCTAATTACGCAGCTGCTGTATCCAGCACCGAAGCGCTCGAAGCCTACAGTGTTCCCCCTGGCTCCCCCCGACCACTGGGAGATCGATCGCACGGACATAGTGATGAAGCACAAGCTGGGCGGCGGCCAGTATGGAGACGTTTACGAAGCCGCTTGGAAGCGCGGCAACATCACGGTGAGTGTGTAACTGCACAACTGTGCCCCCTCGCCGACCGGCAGCCCGCTAATGTGACGCGTGTCTCCAGGTGGCGGTCAAAACACTCAAGGACGATACGATGGCGCTCAAGGATTTCCTGGAGGAAGCCTCCATAATGAAAGAGATGCGACACCCGAACCTGGTGCAGCTGCTCGGCGTGTGCACACGCGAGCCCCCGTTCTATATTATTACGGAGTTTATGTCCCGCGGAAACCTGCTGGAGTACCTGCGGGCGGGGGCGAGGGAGTGCGTGCCGGGCGCGGTCGTGCTCATGTACATGGCGACGCAGATAGCGTCCGGCATGAGCTACCTCGAGAGCCGCTCCTTCATCCACCGCGACCTCGCCGCCAGGAACTGCCTCGTGGGGGAGAACCATCTGGTCAAGGTGGCCGACTTCGGACTGGCTCGCCTGATGCGCGACGACACATACACGGCCCACGCCGGCGCCAAGTTCCCGATCAAGTGGACGGCGCCGGAGGGTCTGGCCTACAACACTTTCAGCACCAAATCGGATGTCTGGGCTTTCGGGATCCTGCTGTGGGAGATCGCCACGTACGGGATGTCTCCTTACCCCGGAGTGGATCTCGCGGACGTTTACCACATGCTTGAGAAGGTAAAGTTCGCACCATTTGTAATTAAATATTAAGCAGCCTCTCTTTCTATTAAAGAAATCCAAAAATTTCGCTTTGCCCTCCAAATTAGGTTTTCTGAACAAAACTGGATGAAAATAACAAAATTACTAGAAATTTTTATTTACAGTAAGTTAATGGTATGGTTAAGACGCGGAACGCGAACCGCCGTTGGCTAGGGACGTGGCTCGCTGCAGTACAGATTAGTTTCGAACTTACAGAATTTACAATATTGAACAAGTCTCAGGAACGCGCAGAGTAGCAACAGAGCATCGCGTCCCACGCACTGGTGTCAGCTTAGTGAATGCAAGTGAATGTTTATAAATACGAAGGTGTTTATATCGGAATGTGACGCGGATTGGAATGACCGGCCGTGAGAGTAGTCCGGTGACGTCACCCGTCTAGCAGTGCGCCGCGTCCGTACACAGGTGCTTCTTGCAGAGCGTGCAGTGCGGCCGCGTCACCGCTATCCGAGAGAATATCTCGGAGGCGGACAGCTCCTTGCTCAGCTTGCTGCACATGGAGTACGAGACCGTCTTCTTGGAGAAGTCCTTAGCGGGCACGCACGTCCTCGCGCGCACCGGCCCGATCTCCTGCCCCGTCTCGACTGTAACAAGCCGCTCGTCTATCTAACTACATCCATCAATCAGTTGCGTCTTACACGAACACACACGTACGTACCCAACTTGGCAGACTCCGACGTGATGACGATACACAGGAACTCCATGCCCGGGATGTAGCAGTCGATGTTGGGGATCTGCATCGAGAGGCCGCCATTAGGTCGTCGGGCGTGACAGTGGGACTAGTACGACAAACATACAACGCGCGCTCACCGTAATGTTGGCGTAGTCGGGGTGGTCGGGGTCCCAGCAGCCGGGGTGGTCGAACGAGAGGCAGTTGTAGCACTTGATACCTTTCGTCGAGGGCGACACGAACTTCTTCGGCTTGACCTTCTTGTGTTTGGCCGCCACTGCAATGATAAGTGCCAGAATCAGCGAAGACACGATAGCTAGCCAGGCTAGGCTAGCGGGGAAGCTATAGGCTTACCGAGCGCGGCCACACAGAAGAGCAGCAGTGCAGCGAGCAGTGCGGGGCGGAGCGGGCTCATGGCGGCGCGGCGCGGCGGGCACTGGCTGCGGAGAAGCGCGCGCTCTCTTTATACCGCGCGCCCGCCGGCAACATGCGACAAACACACGCGCCTGTCGCATACAGCCTGCTCACTTTTACTCGAGATATTTCTCATACTTTACGACAAACGGACAAATCCGATATTAGTTGATCGCGCATGTGACCTCCTTATATTATATTATAAAATTATACAAAGGACAGCGACCTAGTTTCCATTACATACTCCTCCATAAAGTTTGTACTGAGGGGTTAGAACGCGTAGATGCAACGAGTCTGGTAAGCTCCCTCGTTCGGGAAGACCTCGTGCGTCGCTGTGTAGACGTGGCCGATCCCACAGACAGGTTCCGGTGTAATTAAAAAAAAAACCCAATGTTCTTTGTATGGTACAAAATTCACACAATAATACAGTAGGTGCTTGTTGAATAAAACAGTTCATTCGATTGTAACGTTATAAATGAATTTCTTAAGCGACATTTTCAGACTTGTAGGTAATTGTTAAGTGAACGCCCTGTACTCGTCGACTCGCAACACATCGGTTTATTTATTTGTTTACACAAATATTTATTATACATTTTATGGTGACTGATTGAAAAATATTACAGTTTCAATTTGTCATTATATTTTCTTTTAATCAATGCGGGAGTGAAATCGTTTCGCTTTTTGCAAGTTTAATATTGGAGACATTTAAGAGATATGTACAAATTACAAGAAATTAAACAAAATATTAATTTATGGAAATGAGAGAAGTTGCACGTCGAGTGCTGAAGGCGGGGCGGCGGCCGAGCGCGCAACTTCACGTATCGTTACATAAGCCGATATCGATAAACAGAAACCATTGTTGCGCATTTGATGGTTTTTTTTTTGTCATTTACGTAATTGCTTACTCTTGGAGCTGCGCGTTAGAACAGTTAACGAAGGAAGCATGTGGTGGCGCAGGGGTACCGCATGGAGTGTCCCCCGGGCTGCCCGGCGCCCGTCTACGAGCTCATGCGCGGCTGCTGGCAGTGGAGCCCCTCCGAGCGGCCCTCCTTCCGCGAGATACACCACGCGCTCGAGCACATGTTCCAGGACAACTCGATCACAGACGGTGAGCGCCTCGTTACGCAACATGTACTCGTACTAACAGCGAGCGGCTGCTATAGATGTCAACGGTGTGTTTCAGAAGTAGAGAAACAACTCCAAGAAGGCAGCGGCGCGCAGGCCGCCGGCACCCCGCTGCTGTCGCTGAAGAAGACGAGCGCCGACCCTCGAGCGGTGCAGATGCGGCGCCCGACCAACCGCCGCGGCAAGCAAGCCCCCACCCCTCCCAAACGCACTAGGTAGCGCACCCGACCACAAGTAACTGAACACGACCCCCGCCACTCATCGACATACTCATCGACCGCGTGTTGCAGCCTGCTGTCCTCGTGCAGCTCCTTCCGCGAGTCGCAGTACGCCGCCGACGAGCACGCGCCCGACGACGCGCCCGCCGACGCGCTCGCCGACCTCAACGGTCAGTGTCTCACGCAGCGTCACGCGCCGTCACGCACTCCAACAACCGATATAGTGCAATAGTACGCCTCCGCTGTACACGGAGGATATTCATTACGGAATGAAGCGGCCATCGCTTTGTTTGTTTTTAGGTTCCATGTTAAAACTCATACCCGGCTTACTTGACGCTATAACGTTATTCGTCTAAATGACGCACTACAAGTATACCGACGCGACCCACGCGACCCACGTGACCCACGTGACCCACGCGACCGAGGGCGACTTTGTAGTGCGGTACTTACGCACATAGCTCAAGTCTTTTTTTTATTTTTGAAGATTGAATATTTTGGCACTTTGTACGACTGCCAGTCTAGTTCACAGAATAATGGTCCTCACACTAAAAGACGCAGGTATTGTGCATAATGGTCAGTTCATTCAGAATCTTCTTGACGGCAATGTATAAATAATATTAGATGCGGTTTAACTTACATACGTTTTTTAAATTTTATATTTATTTTAAAAATTATATAATTTCTAAAATGAAATTGACAAAAAGAACAAAAATACAACAAACCGCACGCAGCTCGAGATAGGGATCAGAGACCTTCATGGAAATGTTCTTCAAATTTGTAAGAAGAGTACTCATGTTTGTTAAAAGTGTACACACCGTCAATTATGCTTTTTGTTATAATATTTTTATGTACAAAAAACTAAAGTCAAATGTCCTCAATGTCTGTACGTATTGTACCATAACTCAATCTTCGGAAGTAAGATAGAATATAAGACGAGTAGGCTCTGAGGCCGCGCGCCGGCGACACACTGCTCTAAGATACTGTTTTCTGTTTGCCGTGTCTCGGTGCAGCGGCCTAGCGCTCGGAGCCCGCGCTCTGTAAGTATTCCACGGCACCTGCTGCTCTAGCCCTATCCCTGCTTAGTGTAAGATGTAGCTCCTCACACTCGAGTCTGTGTCGGCACCGCGCCGCGACCTAGTCTGCATGCTCCGTCCGGCGTGCAGTAGGAAGGAACGAGCGCCGCCGAGCCGTCCACGGGTCGTCAACAATGAAATTTGTAGCATCGCCAACATTAACAGCCTGCTAGCTGGCATCGGCGCAGTATTTTGACGCTTAGTTTTTTAATTTTTTCATCGAACAGTCACGTATGCTCCCTGTATATTCGTACATATGTACTAAATCAATATTGAGATGTTTGATTGTGATGTGAGTAATGAGTCTAAAAGGGTTCTATACATCATTAAGGTCGTACATGACTCCATCCTGTCTGTGAAACTGAAACAACTTCGACCCGGCTGTAATCCCTCCATCCTTAAAAAAAAGACTAGGCTCTCAATGCTACGCAGGAGACAGTATCTTTGTATGCCAAAAGAAAAGTCCACTGTCTGTCTGACGCCAACAGAATAAAAAACAGATTAGATAAAACAAAAATAACCTTACTTAAAATGACAATATCTGGAAATTTTGAATATATCATTTGACACTAATAAATACATATAAACATTACTGATATTTAAGTTAGGTCCGCTTCTTGACATTGTCTCAAACTGCTGGCACAATAATAATTCACTTAACTGTAGATTATAATTCAAAATTTTAAGTTAGATACAAAATGAGGAAGCGTAGGTATATTGCAACACGGAGCTGCGTTGTTATACGCGAACATTGAGGAACCGAGAGTAAAGGATCACTCTCATCCGCTCTGTCGTTGTCACGTTGTAATTGTTATGGATACTGGTGACGCTATTTGTGACAACCTGGGCGACTTAGACTTCCCACGTGTTCTCACAGCAGTTGAAGTGAATCTACTCGGCCTACTCGCAAAGAAAAATAATAAGAAAATAAAAAACAAGTAGCAGTATGACTCACCACCAAGTGTCTGCACTGATAACCCTAATGCTATCAAACTGACTAAGTGTAGGGAGGGTGGTCTAGTCCCCGTGTGCCAGCTCGAGCAACTGGCTAACGAATCGACTACTGCGCGATAAACGCACGGTACCAACCCACTCGACTGCGCCCCGCATCCTCTGAGTCTAGCCCTCTACGTGACATTTTTTTTGTGATTTTGTCAGCTGCTTAGCAAGAACAACTTGAGTTCCGACAATGCTAATGTTAGTGGACTGCGTCGACGCTGCGAAACTGGCAAACATTGTGCATTTTTCTACAAATTTCATAGTTGACGAATAGTATTTTACTTGATCTGTTCATTTTATAGTTTTCCTGATTTGGGATAGTTTAGTTTAGATTTGGTGAAATAGTGAAGTTATAATCCTTTTTATATTTTTCCCTCAATATAAATAATTACGTGACTTGAAAATAGCATGCATTAATTTTTGTACCTACTTCCAAAGACAATAATACTTCCGGAAACTGTACATCTATTCTTCTCACTCTTTACTTTTGTCGTGCTACTGAACTAACCGCGTGCAGCCTTGTTGCAAGATTGATATTGGACTAGATTTTACCCGCGGCCTTACTCGAGAATAGCACTTTTGTCCTTTCGTGTACCCACCCCTGACAACGCGTATGCAAAATTTCATGATGTTCACTTAAGTTGTTACGTCATGAAAGTATAAAAATAAACAAATAACGTCACTTTCGTATTAAAGTAATAGTATGGGTAACAAGTAGGATTGCGAGAGTAGAGTAGTAGAAGGGAACAGGCCAACGAGGAAAGGAAATTCATCTTGCTCTTTAAGCGCTGGCCACACTATGGGCCGAGCGATTTAGTATGATTAGTACATTGTGCACCAAAGGAGAAAAGTAGGACATTTCCTCCCGCGTGTAAAATGACAAACACGCGGGATGAGATGTCCTACTTTTTTACCGCGGTGCACATACTATTTTTTCTCCTACCAGGCCGAAAGTTCATGGAGTACCGAGCCGGGGTCCAGGGGCGAAACCCTGGCCGGAGGTAGAGGGGCGTGCCCCCCCTCGTGCGGGCGGGCGTGCATGTTTACTCGCGGGGTCCCTTGTGTCATTCCTGTACTGTTCAATTCAAGACATGACACAATGTTAGTAGACATACCAAAGACAAGTGCGGTATGCCATGCACAGTTCATAATGTGCAAGACGCATCGGCGCATACCCATATATATAAAAAAAAAAACTGTAGTTCGCCGGATTTTCTAGTAAAAGACCAATGAAGTTTATAGAATTAGGTTATTTTTTGTACAAGACGGCAGTGGATATTTTTTGATTATGCTAAGTTCTTACATACTTAAAAACATACGTATAAAGTATTTTATTAATGAAAACATGTTTATAGTATAAACTTATTTGCCTAGCTTAATATTGTGTGGCTAGGGCCACTACGACCATTCGTTAAGTAAAAGTGCTATTACGGCAATTCAATATAAAACAAAAATAGACATAAAATAATTTATTTCTCATATTATGCCGATGTATCATTATACCTACCTCAGCCCAGCCTAACATGGACACAACAACCCACAGTTCGATTGCCAACGAGATAGCTGTAGTAATAACTAGAGATTGTATTAATAGTATTAGCATCGTTTTCATCACGAATAATTAATAAGTACGTGTGATAAATAAATTAATTCTGCCCCCAATATGCCTGGACTTCTGTCTAACAAAATAACGAATAATATGACCGAACGAAACACACGATTTAAAACTCAATCGGAAACATGATAAACGGCGCCAGTAAATCAAAATATTATTGATAATTAAGTACTTGTCAAATGTCAGTAGTAATAGTTGTATTTTTCTAACTGGAAAGGCAAAAGTATCATACCAGACAACCTAATATTTTAGAATTATTTTGTGAAAAATGTTAATACGAAGTGAAATGAAATGAAGAGAATTTGGAACATTAATCAATTGGCATGAAATTAAATTATTCAATTCAATTGGCAAAATATTAGTCATTTACAGTTTAGAAATCTAAACATAATGTGACTGTCAACACTGAGGTTTGAGATTGACATTTGACAGACTTTTTGGCGGGAACACGAGGAGCGAAGCTGTGTGAATAGTTTTATTTTGTCTATTTAATGTTTCTTCAGGTTGAAATATATAATAACGGTGGTTTATTAACTATTTAGTATCTGTGAAAGTGCACAAATGTGGGAAAAGAAACAAAGCCGCTGGACATAACTTCTTGGAATCCTCCAAAAGTTCACTGAAAAAGTTTCAGTAAATAACCACCATTTTACTGAGATTATATTTCATCCCATATCATCTCATCTCATTTCATTTCATTTTATTTCATTTCATGCCAAGTGATTAATGTCTCAAATTAATCAACTTCATTTCATTTCACTCCATAACATCATATTTTTTTAAATATTAGGCTGTATGATATATTATCTTTGCCTTTTCATTGGGAAAATTTAACTACTACTAGGTTAGAAGTTTTTAAGATACTAATTATTTTAATCTTCTATACCCGGCGAAGTTATAGT